CCCCTATGGACGAGTTCAATAAAATTTGAACCCCTAAGAAAAAAAAATCAAAGTGCCAACACAAACACCCCCCAGAAATTTTTGCCTTACCCCTCAGAAAAAACACAAAGATCAAAGGATGCCGATGCACACATCCCCTCAGAAGTTCTCGTCCATAGGGGGGGGGGTATATTAAGTGGAATGGCCCTTGGCTCGCTGGCACAGAATCGCATCAAGGTAATTGGTGCACAATCAGTACTGCAGTGTATATAGCTGCCTGGCTACTAGCCTCTGTTTCTCCAAGTAGTTGCCAGGATGTTATTACTGCAATGTCAGGCTAGCAGTCATATGGCTTTTAACCCATTGATCACCATTGTTCTCCCCTTGAAGAGCAAAATCGTCTGGCATTAGACAGAGTAAAGTAACAAAGCAAGGTATGGCTAAATGAAAACTCATTCAGCTGATGCCTGAAATGGCTAAAATGGGCTGGCGTCAGTGGTGAAGCCAGCTCGACAATTTGGCATGCTATGCAAATATTTCCATGTTCATAGACCGTGTCAGAACAATCAATTTCTAAAGAAAAGGATTAATAATGATTTAAAATTTGCACAGCATGACCAAATCGTTGGACTGGCTTCGCCACTGCGGCTGGCGTTCAACTTGACCTGTGTCAGCAAACACCAACATGGTCTCAGATCATCATTTCCAGTGTGAGGTTTACATGGAATGCAGCCTGGCATATCAGTCATTCCGAGGGTGGGGGAATGGCAAATTAGGCAGAGGTGTTGACATTTTCAAAAGAAATCCACACTCCAGACCCAATATACTGCAGAGTTGCGCACTTTCCAATGAGATGCTAACTTCAGATGTGTTCAAAACAATTCCCAAGTGTGCGTCAAAAGGCATTCAGTCAAGGGCATATATCCAGTTTGTACTGTACATGATGAACAGCAAAAATTAGAGTTTTAAGGAGCTAGGCAGCTAGCCATGGCAATTGGTCATAAACCTTTAAATAGGTTAAATACAATTCTAAGGGTTTGAATAATGCAAATCATTAAAAATTGGCATAGCGTGACATGTTGCTATGGCTAGCTTTGCCACTGAAAAATTGTTATTAAATTAAAGTATGGCCTAGGTGCACTAAAATTTCTGCCTAAAAATACTGAGTACGATGTTGACCAAGTCTGCAGACAGCTGACCCTAGGGAGATGTCATTATATTATGGAGAGTCTCACTGTCGGAACACAAATAACCTCAAATGCATAGATACCTGCACACAGGGTTCAAGATTTGCAGTAATATCCTGGTACACCTTTATTTTCTTGAACTGTAATACAATGCAGCATGGACCAGCTGAGATGTGTTGTAGTATACTATAGTATACTACAGACAGTATAGTCCTCTCAGGTATAAAATTTATGCCATTATCAATACAAGCCCTGAAAATGTTATGATACCAGTTTCAAATGTTGGATACTAGTTCACATCTATTCTCTAACCCTGTCTGTATATCGAAGCCAAATTTTGTTTTTATGTAATTTATTTATTCTTAATAATTGAGAAGATTTAATCAATGAGATAAAAAATGTCATATACTTTAATTGTTATTAAACTAACGATGAACAATCAATGACTAGTACTTTAATGGCCTGTGTCATGACTGTAGATTTTATAAATGTGGATGGACAAGGCCTAGAAAATGTGTTTTTTATCCTGGGAGCAAAATCCAAATATAAAAATTTGCTGTGTAAGTCAAATGTAAAACTTCCTGCATATCTAGGTTTCAGAGAATCTTCCTGCATATCTAGATTTCAGAGAGTTTCGCACATTGTGAAACTTCAATTTCAGCCAGGGACGTAGCGAAGCATCTGAAGTTGGAGAGGTGTCAGAGGATTTTACCTGAAATTTAAACTTCAATGTTAAAAATTTACTTGAAGTGTAATAATTATAATAGAGCTTTTTCTGATTATTTGATTTCCAAGAAAAGGGTGGTCTGGGGATCCTCCCACAGAAACATTTTACATTTTTGAAGCTCCACTCCAGGGCTGCATTTCTGGCGTTTTCTAGTAAAGCAAATTCGCAAACGAATTGTATCTAAATTGACTGTATTTTATAAAAATGGTTATCATTTCACAAAAATAACGACTTTATTACGCAAATTTACCTGCAAATGTAAAAATTTTAACTTGAATTTCAGTTACCTGATTTTAACCTCAGTTTCACTTGAAGGTGGGGGGGGGGAGGTTACACTCGTCACACACACCCGATCGCTACGTCCCTGATCTCAGCACAAGATAATCTCGACTTGCAAAACACTATTGGAAATTTTTAAACAATGAGTAAATCATATGGCATTTCAGCATATAAGATGAAAAAAATTCCTGCAAAATGTATAAAGAAAATTTCCTCCCAGCACTGGCCAAGCATGTCTGGCAGGTCATCCCTGCATCCCAGGAAGGAAAGGGCCTGCGCAGGAGTCACACTACTTGTGCTTGTTTGGTGTGTGGTGGCGATAATTTCTTCATTACAAATTCGCTGGAATTCCAAATCCACAGAGTCTTTTAAAAGCCATTGATTTGTTGTGCTAGAAGGTAATGCAATATGAGGATATATAACTGCTATACTTTGGCCTGTAAAAATGCCTGGGCGATTGAAGGAATGCACCTTCTAGCACCATGGCATTGATATGGCGATGCATGTCCGGCAAAATAATATAAAATATTTTCTGTAATTAGACTTAATTGCTTCATAATTTTTGTTAAAAAAATTGTGTAGGATTTTATAAATATATTTTGCATTGCAGCTTAACCTTCTATGACCTTAACCCATGCACTCTCAATTTGATGAGTAAAATTGTCTGGCTTTAGACCAAGTAAAATAATAAAGTACAGTAGGGAGCATCAGCGTGCTTAAAGGGTTAACTGGATGGATAGTTTGATTAACCCACTGAGTAGCAGCACTCACCCTTGACGAGTAAAATCGTCTGGCGTCACAGAGAGTAAAATAATTTGGCTTTAGAACGAGTAAAATAATAAAGTAATGCGCATCAGGGTGCATTGCCACTTAAAGGGTTAATATAGAGGCATGCAATAAATCACACCTGTTGAGTTCTTGATAAACTAAGGTGTGTGCCATGGCGTGTGCATGGGATGGACTAGAACACAGGCTACATCTACAGAGGTCAGTAGATTCGGTTAGAGCTTCGCAACTGGACTCTGTAGCTCAGTTGGTTAGAGCCATAGATATCTTATATAAACTAGATAGCGCATCTCTTTTACCTAACCAGGAACTACTGTATAGCAGCTGCGAAAAATGCAATTACGTACCATAGTCCCTCTGCATGGTAGGGATCGAATCTGTGGTCCTGCGATTCCGGTGCAGCGCTCTAACCATAGATATCTTATATACACTAGATAGCGCGTCTAATTATTCTGCAATTCAAAAATTGAAGCCGTGATTGCAGACTCAGGATATTCCCATGAAATGAGAAGACTCGTATGTTTTCTATTTCTTAAACAGGGAACTTAAACATTAAGTTAAACCTATTCCAAATACATTTTCAAACTATTCAAATGATGAAAGTTATTGTTGTTTTTTAAGCGTTTATAAGCGAGTGGGAAACTCCAACATGGCCGCCATCTATTCAGATGGGGGTAACCGCTGGAATATTCTTGGCTTCAATTTTACTGCAAATAAATGTATAAAATATACACTCGAAATTTTCATCTACAAGATCCTGTTTACTTTACCCAATTTCCAGTCATTTATTGTTGCTTTCTTTCCAGACAGTACCTTGTTTATCACTGACACACTGCAGGCTTATTAATTTAGTCATTGTGTTTGCGATTGCCACAGCTCGGTAACAATACACATAAGCTAAGTGTAATGTCGTCATATTTTGGCCAGGTGCCTCCATATCTGAAATTCACCTGCCTTTGTGTGTGACAAGGCTTGTATAATTAGCAGATCAAATCGCTCAATTTCTGGTTTGTTTGGTTGACAAATTCTGACTGACATGCCATTCCATATTTCTCCTCAGGGCATTCATTATAAATTGATCCTTTAATGCTCTCCAACTTGTGCTATTCCAAAATAATCATGCCCCTCTTCGTTGAAACACTTGTATGAACATAGCAATCCTCGGATTGGAATAATTCCTGGAGAATTTTTTGTTCCTAAACCCTGGAAATGAAATACGATTTCAAAAATGCACGAAAGTATTAATTGCAGAGATCGGAAGAGCGTCGTGTAG